TCCTTGAATGGTTGGTAAGAGCCTATACAATAAACAAAATTTAGAGGTATCACTATATTGTGTGAGGCTTTTAATTTCAAATTTCAACAAAAAAATAACACAATAGAACAGATCTGAAAATTCAAAAAGTACAGCAGCATCCATGTTATCCGGTGGCAGAGAAGCCAAGCCTAAGTCATTAAAATTCATCTAATACATTTTTATTTTAGTTTTTAAAGTGAATTATGTCAGATGACACGTAAGAATTAGAGGCAGTTTTTTCTAATGACCATTGCACTCGCTCTAACGGTTGAAAAAACCCCTAATTCAATATTCCATCATTAGGCTTCTTTAATGATGTCCTCCACCGGGACACTATATCCTCTGGGCTCAACCAACTTGGGCTCATCTCTTCACTCGGGCTACTAGTCCTCTTTTTATTTTTGGATTTTTTTTTTCAATTTATATTTTGTGGACACAACACATATATAAACAGTAAATTGCACAAATGTAGCTTATACGGATACAAAACTTCCAACCGCTGAAGCGAGACAGTCTCACAGTGGTATAGCCATTCAAGTCCGATGCGCAATGAGGTCAGCTGAGCTCTAGTGACGTTGATGCGCTCCTACCGCTGAAGCAAGGAGGGATATCTATGTCCATAATAAAGGATGTGGTGAAGAAGGATGCGGTGAGGCGAGCGAGCTAAGAGTTATGACAATTCCAACTAGGGCCGTCTCGGACTTTTTTGGGGTCCTGAGCGAAAATAAATTATAGGTCCTATCAATACATGATTAAAATATATTTTCAAAATTAGTTACGTCTGGACAATGTCAATTTGAGAAAAGAAGATGAAAGATGGTATGTCCGGAAGTTCGAAAAGCGAGAAAGGCTGAAGGAGGGTAAAAGAGATAAGAAAGAAAGTGAGGCAGACTTGGTCTGAGTTGGTGAGGGCAATGCGACAAGGTCTGACGTAAAGAAGTGTAGACGGAGATTAAATTTGGAAAGATAGTCTGGTTAAGAAGAAAGAGATAGAAAAAAATATATGATTAGAATTTAAAATTTAATTTGAAAACCAAATAGGATAATTATAAAAAAAAAATATATAAACTAAAATTTAATAATAATAATAGATAATAATTTAAAATATAGACCCTTAAGGGCCTGAGCAGTTGTTCTCAGCCTCCTGGTTCCAACAGGCGGTAACAAGTTAACCGTCCAAGTGCCAAACTATATAGTGATAAAAACCTATCTCTAAAAGCATTTTAACTGTTGTTTCAACTGTTCAACCACCATCTTTGATTTCTCTATAAATAGGATCCGATTTCTCATTGTAAATTATGCTTACTTCTTAAGTGTTAATGTAATATACTTGTTGAGCACAAAAAATGATAATAAATAATGACAGTAGGATTCTGGATGGGTCTGCATATAAGCCAAACGGCCCAGAAGTCGGGCAAAAAGAAGTCGGACAAGGAAGGATGATCGGCCGATACGGAGGTCGAACAGAAAAAGGTCGGGCACGGAGATCGGACGTGATAAGGTCGGGCAGAGAAGAAGTATCGGCAGACGCAGAGGTCTGTCAAGACGAAGGTCGGACAGAGAAGAAGTATCGGCAGACGCGGAGGTCTGTCAAGACAAAGGTCGGGCAAAGAAGTGTCAAGAAGATAGTCTGTTGAACCAGTTGTCCATCTAAGGAGATAAGACAAACAGAACCGGTCGGTTGGTTCGCTGTCAGATTGTTCGTAGTCGGTTGGTCCGGTCGGATGGTCCGTAGTCGGTGGTCGGACCAAATGAGGTCGGAAGAAGGACGGCTGATACGGCAGTCGGTCGAAAGAGGAAGTCGGGCAAAAAGGACGGCTGATACTGAGGTCGATCGAAAGAGGAAGTCGGGCGAAGAAGGACGGCTGACACGGCGGTCGGTCGAAAGAGGAAGTCGGGCGAAGAAGGACGGCTGATACGGCGGTCGGTCGAAAGAGGAAGTCGGGCGAAGAAGGACGGTTATTACGCAGGTCGGACCAAGTGAGGTCGGGCGAGGAAGAATGAGACGGGCGATACGAGGTCGGACAAGAGACCAGATGGTGGTCGCTTGATGGGGCGGCCGATGAATCGTTTGGTCTAGCGACCAGTCTAAGAAGCCAGAGGTTATTGCTGGGCGGTTGAGTAGTCGGTCGGGACCAACCGCCCATTTAAGGCAGTGAGGTTTTCAGAAGCGGTCGGCCGAGACAGTTGAGCGCTGTAACCGGCATGAGCGGTTGGTAAGTCGGTTAACACACGTGTCGACATAAGAGGACTTTCTAGGCAGTTGACAGCAGTTGCTGTAACCGACCAGATGGCGGTTCAAACCGTTTCTTTAAAGGGTTTTAAATAGGTCTGTTCCTGACCTAAGAAACCATCTTCAATCGACATCAAATTCAAGAGAATTGCTTTTGAGGATCACCACTTTATTTCCGGTCTGTATTTTTTATTTTTCCTATTTTATTTATGTATCCTACAGTGTTTAGAGATTCCTAATCTCAGGAACTTATTATATCAAATTCGAAGATAATTTCCTATTTTCGAATTTTACTTTTTTTGTTGAAAAAATACATCAACAAATTATTCCGTTCTTTCAATTTTCAAGAGCTCCGAACTACGAGGAGTTTTCTTTAGTTTAGAGGAGGTCAGAGGACCAATGGAGTTTTCTCCACTCCTGACCACCCTTAAGTACTACTCTTTCAGGCAGGTTTAGCGCTTTTATCTTATTATTTTTATTTATTGTTTTGTAATGTAGATTTATAGTTTCCAATAGTATTAATGAAATATCATTTTCTTGTTCACTTCGATTTTCACTCAAAAACCCAGGTTTGTAATTGATCGCTTAAGTCTTGATTCTTGATGAATTCTGGAAAGAAGATAGAAGGAGCATACAATCATGTCATTATAACATAGAGTGGGTAGTTCGTGACAACTAAGTACACAAGAGCCTCTTTGACCTTCTTACCAATAATTTATTACACATAGGTGCTTGTCTATCGGGTCACAAAAATATCTAGTGACAATGATTTTTTTATAAATAATGTTTTTAATTGGGTGTCGCTTAAGCGTCATTGTAACACCTCTAAAGTCAAGTACTAGTCGAGTCAAGAATCTAATTTAAATGAGCAAGTACGATCACACATTTTACTTCTGTCATTTTATAATATATATGTTTTGATATTTCACCTTTATCATCCGCTTATTTCATTTAGGAAAATCTAGTCATTTAGGATGGACAAGTCACTTACCAACACCTCTTATCCATCCTACCATCAAATATATTACAACTCACATGCATTCTTACTATCAGCCATTGCTTGCTCACCTTCACACTATATATACCGCTTACTTACAGCCCGTCCACTCCGCTCACTCTTATCCTCACTACACTCACCACTAAGTAACCCCCGCTCCTCTATTTCACCGCACTACTTACACTTTATTCCTTTATGTACTCACTTATTTTTTACTGTTTTTCTTGCTCAAGCGAGCCTTAATTGCTTTTACCGCTCAACCAGACTCAATTGGAAGTATTATATATATATATATATATTTAAAATTTATTTACAAATTCTATTTAAAATTATTTGTTGTTCTCTACAGCAAACCATATGTGGCAAGGTCACCGTCACAAATTCACTCCTCACTCTTTTGATATTATTTTTAATTAATATATATATTGATTTATTTCAAATTATTCATTTATTAAAATTTATATAGGTAAATATTTAAAAGTTAAAATATAATATTATATAAAAATATTATTAGACAATAAAAATATGTATAAATAAATAAATTATTTATATATTTTTTATATATATTATTGCATAATGGAAATATATATAAATGAATAAATTATTGTGGATTTATAGTATAGTAAAGATAATGAATTGAATGTGATTTACTATAATATAAATGATTTGAATGTTAAAATAAATATGATAGGGATGAGAAACATAAAAGATATAATGGAGTAGAGCAATGACTATAACAGTGCTCTTGTATAGCTTTGATACTTAAAGTTAAGGTTCTTTAATCGATCACCATACCACAAAATGTTGTTTTCTAGAAAAAATAAATAAATAAATCAACACTTCATTTGTTTTGTTTTAACCTATTTTTCATTTTAAAAGTAACTCAGAAAAAAAAAAAAAAAAATTAACTTGAAATAAAAATAAAAATCTAAAACACCACCCTAACAAACGCAAAATAAATTTGTTAATTAGATGAGAATCTTCTACCTCGATCAATTCCTCTTCGCACATGCCTAATAACCAAATATGCTTTTGCAGCTAGTGGCATTAAAATATGTTCTAATAATTGCTTCATATCGTAATTGTCATTAAAAAAAAAAAAGAAAAATTCAGTTTGGATCTGTTTATACAAAGAAGACTGAACCAAACCAGGAACTGTTTCTTCAATATTTGTGCAAAAATATATCCATTTTAGCTGCGGATTTCAGTTTCTTCAGCAGTTTGTAAGAATTGAGATTAAAGAGGGTTCGAGAGATGGCTGTAGCTGCTTATGCATCACTGGTTTCTCTTTCTCATGTCCTCGACAACGTTCATTACCGTGCTGAGCTTCGTCGCCTTCATGTCGACATAAAAACGATTAAATCTCTCCAAGAAGGTGTCAATTTCTTGTTGGAGTTACTTGAAAAGAACCATAGAAGCAAAAGCCAGAAGGCAGAAGATCTTTGGAAGCAAATATCAGAAGTTAGTTTGGAGATCGAAGAAATTTTTGACTTACATGTTGTGAGTCAACTTCAGAAGGAATCTCAGGGAGAAAGTAGTGATCATATGGGCGCGAGATCATTCGATGAAGATTTGGACACTATGATCCAAAAGGTTGACTACATCAAGCGAGAGCTATCGATGGTTGAAGAGGTCGTGGTTGGACAACAAACCAGAGCTTCTGTTCCAGCTGGCGGTTCTTCAACAGCTGCATCCATTGTTGGAAAGAATATTATTGTGGGACTTGAGAAACACGTGATCAAGATTAAGGGTGAGCTAGCTAGATATGACGACAATCTCCAAATCATCCCAATTGTAGGCATGGGAGGTATTGGCAAAACTACTCTTGCTAAAAAAGTTTATGAAGATAAGTATTCCATGGAACGCTTTGATGTGCGCATTTGGATTACAATTTCTCAGGAGTATAGCGTCGACGAGATCCTCCTTGGTCTTATCAATGACGGAAAAGTAGAAAGACATGGTGGAAATTCAGATGGGCCTGGGGAAAAATTGCACAAGAAACTCCATGGCAGAAGATACTTAATTGTAATGGATGACATATGGACTCTTCAAGCTTGGTATGATTTAAGGAGGTTCTTTCCGGACAATGGGAATGGAAGTCGAATTATTGTGACCACTAGGCTATCACAAGTGGCTGCTTCATTGGGCTCTCACGACCCATATCCGATGACATTTCTTGACACAAATACAAGTTGGAGTTTATTTTGTCAAACTGTATTTGGAGAAGAAAATTGTTCGCATCCAGAATTGGAGCAAATGGGAAGGGGGATTGTTAGAAATTGCAGAGGGCTTCCTTTACAAATTGCTGTTATTGGAGGACTTCTTGCAAAGTCTGGCATGACGACAGAATATTGGGAATCAATTGCTGAAAATGTAAGTGCCTTTGGCAATTCAAGTGATGGCGAGCATTGTTTGAACATATTACTTTTGAGCTATAATAATCTTCCTATATATCTAAAGCCATGTTTCCTCTATATGAAAACTTTCGGTGAAGATGCTAATATTAAGGTCTCCAAGCTTATCAGATTGTGGGTTGATGAAGGTTTCATAAAGATAAAAAATGATAAACGTTTGGAAGAACTTGGCAAGGAATACTTAAAAGATCTTCTCGACAGAAATCTACTTTTTGTGCGTGAAACAAATGAAATCACGGGGGAATTAGAAAAATGCGGCATCCATGATCTTTTGCGAGACCTATGCATTAGTGTATCCAAAAAAGAGGACTTTTTGTGCTCTCCAAGAGTAAAAGACATCAATATAAGATATTGGGATGGAGTGTGCTTCCTATGCGGCGGCTCAGCAGTAGAAGAAGAAAGAAGAAATCTTCTTGCACTTGATGTTATTCCTCCATCAGCTTCACAAGAAAATCCCCCGGTTTGTGGTGACTGTAAAGTGACATATTCACGTACGAAGGGACTAAGATTGGTCATGGCCATCGAAAAAGTTGGTATTGCTCATGATACACGTGTGCAGCACACTAAATTACGGTGTGTCCGTGTTAAATATGATTTCTATCCAAATTTTATTGCTCCTTCAATTCTACATTTTCTTTGGAACCTGCAGAGTCTGATATTCCCACATTCATCTTCGGTAGTTTTACCATCTGAAATATGGCATATGCCGCAACTTAGAATTATTGAATTCAAGGCCGTTGTGTTGTCGAAGCCTTCTCTTGCTCATGCGGGAGAGAAAGATATCTTCATTCTGAAGAACCTGCACACCCTTCGCTTTGCAATGAATTTTGAGCTCACCGATGAGATTCTTGGTGGAATTCCTAATCTGAAGGTACTAGGAATAACGTATGATAAGCGTATGAGAGAGTTGGATACTTGTTTGTGTAATCTTGACAGATTACAGAAACTTGAAACACTAATTGTCCAAAATACATTGCAGAACATCGGCTTTCCAAAATCACTCAAATTCTTGCTTCTGTGGAAATGCAGAATTCCTTGGAGTGGTATGTCAGTGGTTGGTTCATTGCCTTATCTCGAAGTTCTTCTGTTGTGCTATACTGCAGAGGGCTCTGAGTGGAATCCAACTGAAGGGGAATTTTTTCGATTAAAAACATTGTGGATTGTTGGTAGTGATTTAGTAGCTTGGAGAGCTGATCGATACCACTATCCGGTGCTTGAGATGCTTAGACTCGAAAAACTACCTTCGCTGGAAGAAATCCCTTCAGGTGTTGGAGATATACCGACACTGCGTGAAATTTATTTGAAAAATTGCACTGAGTCTGCTGTGGATTCGGCATACCAGATATTAGAGGAACAACAGAGTGTGGGAAATGATATACTCGAGGTGGATGTCTACGATGATTCTGATGATTCCGATGATTAGGATGTAGATGATGACACAGATGAAGATGAGGTGTCTGAAGACAAAGATGAAGATGAAGACAACGAATCTGAAGCTGAAGACACAAAGAAAGATGAAGATGAAGATGATGAATCTGAAGCTGAAGACAGAGAGGAAGATGAAGGTAATGAGTCTGCCTGACTGATTGCCCTAAGGACAGAAGAAGAAGAAAAAGATGGTATGTATATATATATCTAATGTACTTTTGAGGAGTTGTCATAATTGTTTTGTGGCTTCTAACTTGCTAAATCGATTTCTGCTGGCTTGAATTTGGTAAAAAGAATTCAAGTGTTGAAGGAAGATTTCCAGAAATTATTCGGTAATATGTAGTCGAAAGCTTTAAAGGTTTTGGCAATGAGGAGAAATATTGCTCGGTACCATTTGCAAGTGGTACTTCTTTTTTCTCTAAACCAAAGACATTATTGTTATATGTGTGGATGATTTACTTAATGTTTATCTTCGTTTCTTTGTAATTACCATTTGCATCTATCATCCATTTTTGTTTTTGTTTGTTTCTTTAGCTTTATGATTTAATTAAGTAGCTTAGAAATATTTAGTTATTTACCTTCAGTTGTTCAGTATAATATAAATTACTGTCGATGTCATACATATATATAGTGAAAAACCCGAGATTGCAGGGCTGTAACTAATCCAAACTAGATGACTAAATTAATTCTTGTTTTGTGCATTGTTTTGTTGTGTTTTTCGCAATACTTACATAACAATACATGCATAGAGTTGATACAATTTACTTAGGTTCTATATATAGAAAATCTTTGTAGGCTATTAATATGTTTCATCGATTCGTACATATTGAAAGAAAATTCCACTAATTGTGTGTTTGTTTGTGGGTTTGGATTTTGAGTTGGGATTTGAATAGTAAAAAAAATGAATTTGAATAGTTGTATGATGTGATATAAATAGACGTTATGTTATGTGATGTTTTGAATGTAAAATTGATTTTTAGTATAATATGAAAAATAAAAAATAGATGTTTGATTTGAAGTTTTTTTTGGGGGGAGGGGAAATAGAATGAATAGTGTATTTAAAATCCACTCCTCCAAACAAAAAGAAAAAACTCATTTTTAGTCCTAATTATGACAACGTAGAACTTTACTAAAAACAAGAAGGCGTGTACGGAACGGTTAGGGTACTCAATTGGAAAAATCAGCACCGTGCTGATTTTTCAAATCATCACCCGTAATATATACAAACAACGCACAATTTTATTATACACAATACATGTTGTGTATAAGAATTACATGTGATGTTGCTTCGTAATTATAGTGTGTTGTATAACATTATCTGGTGTGCTGAAATTAATTAGTATTTACCATAGCATGTGCTGTCAGTTCATGTGTTATATATGTGTTGTTGGTTCATAATTACTAGTGTGTTTTATAACAGTATGTGGTGTGCTGAAATCAAGCATTGATTGTGTTGTACAAGACTATAGCATGTGCTGTTAGTTAGTGTTGTTAGTTCATGTGTTGTATTTGTATTATATGAATGCAGACGGTGTGCGGCCGATAGTAACACCGTTTGTTGCGGTGTATTGTCAGCACAGTGTTGAATTTTGAAATCCGCCGCCGGCTTGTGCATACACACATGTATCACTTTTTGGATGGTGTTTGAGTTCCTATATATTTTTCAGGATGTGCGTACATTTCATTGCTTTATACATATTAAAAAATTTATTCAAAAAGCTCATTTTGTGTTCTACTTATGAGTCGAAATTTTACTAGAAAAAATATAATGGCTTGGGCATGCGCACACACTAGTCTCACTTTTTGGACGGCATTTTAGTACCTAAATTTTTTTCTAGATATGAGCATTTTTACTCAACTTATATAGAATGAAATAAAAATTTAATTCAAAAAGGTCATTTTAGAGCCTTGGTTACAATGAGTCAAAACTTCGCTCGAAAGGTGAAAGTTTGTGCACACACATTTACGTCGCTTTTGGAGTGGCTAGACTCGATATGAGTAAGTTTCATCAACCTATACATATTCAAACAAAACTCCATGCATGAATTTCATTTTGTGACCTACGGGTGTTTGGCAATAATTAGTTGATAGCTTATTCAATTAGTTGTTAGTTGTTAGCTGATTAAATTAATTGATTTGACTAGTTAAATATATTACTTGTTTGTACCAAAATGTTTGATAAAATAGGGGTTTGATATTAGTCATTTATAGGCAGAATAGGGGTTTGATATTAGTCATTTATAGGTAAAATAACAATTAAAGATATTTTATATATTTTTAAATATATTATGTTGCATCATTTCGATGCATAGAATTTTTGAGAATTTTTTTTTTATTTAGGTACAATAACTTCACACTTTTATAGATAAAATTGCCACTGAAATTTGAAGTATATGAAAGAAAGTTAGAGAATAAATTACTTCAAATTTTAAATAATAATAATAATATATTTTATAGAAAATTTAAACCTTTGCAATTCTTTATGAATGTTTGAGTTTTGGAATTTTGATTTGGAAAATTATACAATTTTGAACTAGGAAAATATTTGATATAATATTGTAAACACTAAAAATATATGTCTAAATTAAATTAAATATCATATATTTTGGAATAAAATAAAATTCCAATAAAATAAATATTTGATATTTAATTATACACATATATTAATTTTTGTACAATAAATATAAACCATTAATGCAAAAATCTGCTTAAAATGGAAGATATCGTACAAATATTACATGCATAAATAGAGCCATAATGAATTTGGCAACAAAATAAAATCTTGTCAATAAGGAAAGTATATAAATTAATATCTTCCGAAAAAGGCAATGATATAAAAATTTTGGCAAGAAAGGAAGACGCGCAATCAAATCCTCCGGAAATGGAAAACGACGTCCGATGGTAAAGGAAAGATTATAAAATCTTCACGTTGACCAATCAGGACGTGCCACATGGCACCATTAAAAAAGGAAGCCAAGGCCATCCCTCCCCTATAAATAGGAGTCATGGTTAGTTCATTTGACACACCGGAGTTACATCGAGGATTCAAACAAAGGGTAAGTCTCTAGACTCTCTATGTATTGTTCTTCATGTTCTTCGTGTCCTTCGAAGCATTCTTCGTAAAAAAGTCACCGATTTCGAGAAATGATCCAATATTGGTTGACGAATCGATGACGTTAACGTTCTTCGTGGTATGTCCAAGCCGGAGGAAGGATCAAAGCTTCCAAAGCTATTGAGGAATTCATCAAAGCCAAGGGAAGGTCTTCAAAGTTCATCTCAAAACTTCAAGATGTTCATCGCGTTCTTTAACAAAGTATCAACTAGGCCCTTTTCGATCCAAAAGTCAAATGGACATGCCGCCAAAAGTGTTATGGAGCACCAAATCCACTTCTTCAAGGATCAAAGCTCAAAAAACCATTGAAGAATTCATCAAAGCCAAGGAAGAGCATCCAAAGTTCATCCCAAAGTTTTAAGGTGTTCATCGTGTTCTTCAACAAAGCATCAACCAGGCCATCTTCGATCTAAAAGTCAAAGGGACACGCCGCCAAAAGTGTTATGAAGCACCAAATCCACCTCTTCAATGATCAAAGTTCTAAAAGCCGTTGAAGAATCCATCAAAGCCAAGGAAGAGCAACCAAAGTTCATCCCAAGGTTTCAAGGTGTTCATCGCATTCTTCAACAAAGCATCAACCAGACCCTCTTTGATCCAAAAGTCAAAGGGACATGCCCACACGGAGACCAAAGTCCTCCAAAAGCGGCAAAACCTGCAAAGATCAAAGCCTCGGATCGTTTAAAGAAGACATTAACTCCAAAGCCGATGATCAAATCTCCTACACGGAGACCAAAGTTCTCCAAAAGGCGGCAAAACCAAATCAAAGATCAAAGCCTCGGATCGTCCAAAGAGGACATCAAATTCAAACCCGACAATCAAATCGCTTGCACGGAGACCAACATATGATTCTATACCTTACAATATATGAACTGCACAACATATATTTCTTGTATATTATTATATTGTACTGTATAGAATCATATTCTATTTGTCTTGTTGTTACAGTACCCTAACCTTCGTCTATATCATGAATATGACAATTGTTGTTGAAAGTTATAATATTACTATACTGCATGAAATGAATGTAACATTTGATGTTTTACGGATATTTGGACAATAATATAATGATCCATCGGTCTAAATCCTTGAGTTCTTTACTGCTTGTTTTGTTCAATATTGGCAAACTGAAGAACACTTGAATTGCGCTTCCAGTATACTATTATTCTACTGCATATTCATGTCAATCTATTTGTATTTTCGCGAGTGTAAAATCAACATCAGTGTATTTTTGGACACAAACTATTAAATAAGTATAAATTAAATATTTCAAACATTACATATCACTATAGATATAAATAAATATTAGTTTTTAAAACGATCAATTTAAGCAGATTCGGGATGAAGTCAAATCTGTGAAGTTTAATAAAAAATTTTGAAAAAGGGTACTAAGAAAAACGCTTAGCCAATGATTGACTTCAGAAATGAACTCACGAATTAAATCATTGATTGCATGTTTTATCATATTAAATCGATTGATAAATTGATTATAAAAGTCGACACAAGCCAAACTTCCAATGTTTCCTTATTGAATTATTAATTAAGGTATGACCTTTAAATAATTCTCTAGTTGAAGAAATAATTTGTGTACGACTATGAATTTAAATTTCTCAATTGCATTAAACCCTTAAAAAAAACCCAACTATGATTCTCTAAGTCCTATACAATATTATCAAAATCATATCGTAAATTTCAAAAGATGATTCGTAAGCATCTTGTAGTCACTATATTGAACCATCACACAATCACAGATGCAATAATTCAATTGCCTATAGATTATCAACTCAATCTAAATATCCGACCACAATAAAAGATTAAAAAAATAAGCCAAGACACTCTTCGATGGAATTTTACGAATACACTGAGCAAATTTTGCTCTGTTTTGCCTCTGGCCTTTTATTGCATGCTTGCCTTAAACTTTACCTAAACAAAATAATTAAAAATCTATTCAATGTATAAATTTATACATATCAAAAGTTTATGAAAAATATAATCTATCAATTCACTTGATGAGAACTTGTTGGTCTTGAAATTCACTACAAACCAAGTTTAGAGAATAAGTTTTTATCATCAATTTAAGCAAATATGTATGTGAAAAATAAATTTATTTGGGTACATTATACAACATTTTAGCTCCAAATTATATAAAATATCATATGAAAAAACTATTTCATCATTCAACACTGATTATATATATATATATATATTATATACACAAACATATAAACCATAAACTATAAAACATATTCAATTACATTCTATACACACACATATATTATAGCGTGTTTGATTTGTGTTCCAAATATGAATTAACACTATTCAATACGGACAGTC